CGCGTGTCAGGCTGCCACTGTACCCGCCGTCCTTTTTACTTGACAACTTGGCCTTGCCAGCCTACGTCAGCTCCTACCTCCGCACGCCGCAGTGCCCCGCTCCTACATTAGCAACCACTGTTTGCCAGAGTGCCCATTTTGTGTAATTATACGAACTACAGCAAGCTAATGGCCCTGACTGAGCCGTGCCTAGGCCCATTACACCTCGGGGTGCTGCAAAACACCATTACCGCCATCCGGCAGCCCGCCGTGTTTGTGCTCGCGTAGGTGAAGGCCCGCGTATGCGAGGCAGCCTCATCTCCAATGCGTGCGCTCATGTAGATGTGTCGGTTGAAGGAGGTCGGAGGTGGAATAGTACATGTCAACGGCCCCAAAAGTGTGTCTGTTGGTGAGCTCACAAGCCACACCTGTCATGCCCCCCCAGCCATAGTTGATGCCGCAGGAACGGCGAAGCGCCTCTCAGGACTTTGGTCAGACATTGTACTCACTTCACTTAGCACCATCTCACTCTACCAGCAAATAGGCTATTTGGTTCACAGGAAGAGTGGGCGCGCATTCAGCAGAACTGCCGACGGGCCTCAGCCACTGCGTTAATGGTACTCGGAGTAACATTTCTCTCAGACTCCATTTAAAGCTTCAGCTCTTGTAACTAATGGTCGTCTGTAACTCAAATTGCGTGCACTACACACACTCATCCGACCCAGTGCTGCGCAAATAAACCGGGGCAGAGCGCGTTTTCAGACTGCGGCGTCTTCGTGTCCGTCGAGGCTCTGCTCTGCCTCGGTGTTATTGCGCGGCTTTCTGCTTTACTTCCTCCGCTCCCACGCCACGTTCCCACAGAGTGAATCAGCAGCTTCCTCTCATTAACCGAGGTGGAGGATTTGCCACCGAACATGTTGCGGCTTCACAAATGTGAAGCGGAGACGAGGACGGAGCGCATTAACTCAGCCCACCACCGGTCAGATGGAGGTTAAAACAGTGACTATACACACGACAAGTGCATTTCAGTCGACAGCTGTCTCTGTGTATTCATTACGTTATCCCATTCAACTTTTTCTTTTTTTTTTTGAAGAAGAAAGAGCATTAGCACTGACTCTATTGACAATCTGCTTTCCCCTCACTATCAATAGCCATTAACCACTTTAAGCCTTGCCAAGCTTAGGAGATGGAGAGCTAATTGCATTCCTTTTGTAGCCTACTGTATACAGTGATGGTGGATCAATGTGTTTGTTAGTTCTGTGGGATAAATGGGTATTCATGCCCGAATAACCACAAGCTCCCCACACACACACACACAGCACATAACAAGCTCCCTACATAAACGCCTTACACACCTATACTGCACATACACGCACAGCTCCGTCTCCTTTTTTTGTCGCGCCTGTACCTTTAATTAACTATCATCTTTCTCTCTTTGATTTATTCCTAATACCCAGAGACACACACACACACACACTCCGTTACTACTCACAAACGCGAGCAAACCATACATCGACTTTAATGCATTGCACAGACACACTCGCACACACACACTCATTCATGCAAACACTCGTGGCCTCTCAGCGTGGAGTGTTGCCACCTGTGTGGAGTGGAGTGAGTGTGCGCCCCCCCTCCCCCGACAGCGAGATGTATGCAATTAAACCGTGTTAAAGTCATTAGCTCAACAGACGTGATAGCCAGCAGATGGTTGCCGCACGGAAAATACGCTCCTAATGAAGCTCCTCAGTCACTGAGGGTGTGTGCTTGTGCGGCGGACGATCGCACGAGTGCGCTCACGCGCGTACATGACGTGCCTTCGTTTGTTCAGGTGCGTTGCCCAGCGGCTGAAGCCCTCGAAGCGGGACTTGATTAGACTCCCCTGGTGGTTGGTCCTTCGTCTGTAGCAAAAGAAATGAGTGCCCATTGTTGATTTATGGAAATCAACAGAAAAGGATTGGGGGGGGGGGGGTGTTGAGAGGCATAAGCACACAAAGTACCGGTTCTAAAACATGATCACTCACCATGTGACATGACAGAAGGGTTCCTAAAATCCATGGCTACGTCATGGTAACACATGGTAGATTTCCCTCCTACAACTTATCCATCTCTCTTTACTGTGGAGGCTAAAACAGGACGTCTGATACATGAGGTCTGGCTGTCAGCTGTCAGTATTTATATCAGACAAGGGCTGAGCTGTTGCTCTTATACAGATGACACATAGTAATGTACGATAAGAAGATATCTACCTTTTTCTTCATTTTAGCAGTAGGTACTTAACTTTGATTTCAGCGAGACTTTAAGTGAATTGCAATACTGTTGCGGTCTAAAATGTAAAAGCCGACACTTCCCATCCCTCGATTCAAAGGTTGGCTTTAAAACAACATCAACAAGCATCTTAAGTGTCTCGTTCGGCTATTAAATCTATGCAGAATTCGAGCCTTCACAATGAATTTTAACTCTTTCAGTGTAGCGATGCTCCTCGGCATATATTATTCTCACTCCATGTCATGTGTATCCAGGATGCAGTGTTGTTGTTCCATAGGGAAACTTTCTGGAGTTTTTTTGCCCCTGAAGAGCCTGCGGCACTGAAGGTAAGGGAGGTACACGGTGTCTAGTCCCGGGCATCCAGGACCCACCAGGGGTGATGCGCAGAGCACTTACCATAACGCATTCACATACTGTAAACACCACACATCCACACGAACCGCGCTCTTCAAGTGGGACTGACAGTTATAGTAGGAGCATTCTTCTTCTTTTGAACCTGCTCCCTCTTTGTTCTCTTTAAATGAAATAATTGTTATCTGTATTCAGCTCAGTGTGCCTGACAGATGTTCAGCGGGGGCCCTTTTTTTTGGTTTTGTTTTCTCAAGCATCTGATTGTCGTCAGGTGGAGCCGACATCACACACTCATAAATACGCAACACGTGAACCCACCCGTGTTGACACGCAGTCCTTTAGCTGTGAGCAGCATTGTTGCATTTCCATTGTGTGTGTGTGTGTGTGTGTGTGTGTGTGTGTGTGTGTGTGTGTGTGTGTGTGTGTGTGTGTGTGTGAGAACGGGAGAGAGCGTGAGTGATGAAAGGGTGGGTGGGAGGGGAGGGGGTGCTGATAGTGATACTCTATTGAATACAGATGAGAGGAAGGCGAGCTGAATTCTGATCAGGCTGCCTCCTCTCTTTCCTCCGCTCTCCATCCCTCACAGCGGGGGGGGGGGGGGGAAAACCTACTTCAGAGAAGTGCGTCTTTCTGAACCAAAAGGTTGGATGTTATAAGTCCAGCCCTTTCAAAGTCAAGGTCCAGGCCTCCTTCTCTAAGGGGCATCTATTACAGCGTGCAGAATTAACAAGCAGATGGATTTTGATGGTCGTGATAAGGAGCGGTAGAGGGAATCTGATCTGTTTTAAGTTTGCGCAGCCCGTGACTTGTCAGCCAACAAAATAATCACGAGTTACTCTTTCACTGAAGACAAAGAACACAATTTCAACACCAAGTATGTGTCAAAACTGCAGATCCACCTTCTCAGTTATCCAGAGTGCAGAGATGAAAGGCGGCGGCGGCCTAATCTGAAGAAAGATCCGGCCAGGTCGGCAGAATTGAGCTTAATTAGTTGAAGAAAACTTGTACTTTTCCAGCCTCCCTCGGTATACAATCGCTTTGTGTTGAGAAGTCGTCGGGGTCGTCTCACCGGCTCATTAAAAAACGTGCGAGGAAGCGAAAAACATTAATGGAGCCGAACACCATCAATTTGTTACGTAGGAGGGTTATAACATAATACAGAAAGAAAGGGCCTCGCCGTAGTGGATCTAAAGTTTTCTGTCGTTTGACTTTCGCAGCAGTCGTAGAAAGACGGGGGCGGAATATGCATCGGAATTTACTTTGACGCTCTGACGCCGAGGGAAGGAAGATCCTTTTCACATTCAAATACGTCAACCAGCGCTGAAATACTCTCGGACGGCGGCGAACGGCTCTGGAGTCGGATGAGTGCCGACACCAGAAGACCCAACGCGACTTGAACTTTCGATGTGATTATCAGCACCGTGATTGGTTGTAAACCCTGTTGTCACGGCAATGATTTCAGCCATGATGATGAAAGCTCCCGGTACACTGATCCGTAGCATGCACACACACACACACGCACACGCACACACACACAACCAGAATCAGTCTGTCTCCCAGCTAACCAGTCTCATTCCCCTTTGAGAGAGAAGCATTAGATGGTGAGATTAAACTTGTGTGTGTGTGTGTGTGTGTGTGTGTGTGTGTGTGTGTGTGTGTTGTCTGTCTTCTTACTAACATAGTAATGTACAGAACAACAATCTGGGGAAAGGCTTGAGCTCCACTGAATTGTACTTGACACTTTGTTCTGTCTTTCCTGATTCCTTGTTTTTCCCCTTCCCCGCCTCTTTATCGTCTCTCTCTTTCTCTCACAGCTGTTATTAAACCACTTTGACTGAGTTAATAACATCTGTGTCACACTCACACCCAGGAAGAGGCAGAAAGCAAGTGGAACTGTACTTGTCTGCCACACTAGCATTACCCCCAAAGGGTGTACTTTGTGGGATCCCAAATCCGACTGCAGCTTGTAATAATACTGTAGATGCATTCCGGTAGTTTAGCATAGTTTTGGGCTCTGTAGTTTTCAAATAAAGGAGAGAGATTCAGTGGGGAAAACACAGTGTGTATGGCCGGCACATTTTCAAATCTCACTCCGGCATTAGTTTCTCTATTTATGTTTTGGTCGTTTGATCATCAAACGTAAGAAGATAGTGGGGGAAATGGCCGTCGCAATTCACCAGAACCCGTGGTGACATCTTCAGCCGTCTTGTTTTGGCTGCCCAACAATCCAAAACCCAGTGATATTCCATCTACAGTGAGATAAAACAACAAACATCACATAAGAGAGAAGCTGGAATCAGAGAATATTTGGCGATCCTGTTTAAAATAAAGTCTCACAAGATTAATCGATTATCACAATAATCGACTGAGCTCTAATTGTCGTTTTTTTCTTCTTCCCCCAACAGGGTCTGATGATCCTCCTGCAGAACCTTCCCACAATGCACTGGGGCAACGAGGAAGTGAGCGTACTGCTGGCTGAAGCCTACAGGTTGAAGTTTGCCTTCGCGGACGCGCCCAACCACTACAAGAGATGATAAGCGTGGCTCTCTGCAGCTGCTGCTCTTCCTCCTCCTCCTCTTGTCCCTCCTCTCCTGCCCCTGCAGTCGTCTGCTGAACTGCGAGGCCTCTCTTCCTACAGGGAAGGACCTCCCCCTTTTTTTTTTCTTAACCTCCCTTTTCAGCTACTAAGAGATTTGAATCAACCAATGAGCGGGAGGACGTGCGGCGTAGCATTTTAACATGACGACGTTGAGCCTTTTCTTTTTTTTAATTATTTTTCTCTCTGATGTGCACTCCTTCAGTCCCGGGGGGCAGAACTCTCTCCATCACTGACGACCACGACTTCCTTTTTTTTTTTTTTTTTTGGTCCGCTCAAGCTGACTCCTCAGAGTACGAGCTCAGGCCTGATGCAGGACCGTGAAGCTCAGCACCGCCAGGAGTTTAGTCCAATAAGATGGCAATACATTGTGTTTTGTTTCCCGAGGCCAAAATGTGACCTTTATTTTTTATTTTTTTTTTGCAAAGACAAAGAAAGATGGCCAAAGGGCACTGCACTAGATGGTTTACATATCTGAGCCCGCTCTCCTGGTCACAACACCACCTGGAGGAACATGACCTCTCCTGTTTTTCTTCTTCTTCTTCTTCTTCTTCTTTTTTTTCCCCTCCTCCTGCTGTGTGACAGGAGCGACACAGTTTGTTGACAAACTACCACACTAGGACTTTACACAGAGAGAGAGAGAGATTGTCTGTCTGTGAGGGGAAACATGACTCCCTCCTTCTACAAACCACCAAACACCAACTCAATCGGCCCGGCGCTGCGACAGCACGCTGTAAGACCAGCCGTGGTGAGAGGAGGAAAGCTACTTATATCCCCGCTCAACATGCTTATAATGTCTTATGACTACCCCTCCTCCCGAACCCAGGACTACCTCAGAACACATTTGTCGGTAAATTGAGAAACGTGCACACACACCAGTACGGGGTCCCGTCACCCTCGCGGAAGCTAAATTTTGAATTTGCAAGAAGAAGAAGAAAGTGCTTCTTCTTAACGTGGGTTGTTTTTGTCGTCGAGTTCCGAATGAACAATTTTGCCTTAATTAAGAAACATCCTGTCTTTGTTTACTCTCCCCTCCTCTCCATCTGTCTTTTGGGCCGCATCAATCTTCGAACACGCGCGACGAGTCTTTGATATTTCGCTGAGAGTTTGTTTCAGGAGTCGCTCCATCGGAGAGGTTTGGGGGATTCCAACAGCAAGCCCAGATGCAATGTGTGAAGTGTTTGTGCAACAGTTACAGAAATGAGTCCAAACACAACACTTTCATTGCACAGCCTCCAAAAAGTAGTTCCAGTTTTAAAAAAAAACACACAACTGTAATCTTTAACCCAAAATGTGGCCGTCGCCGCTGAGCCCGATACATCATGTGTAGCTGAGTGTCGCCATTGCCTTTTTTTTGCCCTCCAACTGGCAAAATTTGTTCTGTTATTAAATTTTCAAAAATTCCAATTTGCTTTGCTGTTAATATAACTTATTGGCGTCAGTGGCAGAAACATAACTCAACAGATAACAGTTATTAAACCCTTCAATGTAAACTACTTCTGTGTATAGCGAGCTGCACATAAATGAACAAAAGCAGCAGCACTGAACCAGAACCTTCTTACACCCCCACCACACACACACACACACACTTAACACAGTCTCACCATTTTTTGCAATACCTGTCCCTGCTGCTCCGTTCATATAGACCAGCTTACCCAAAGTCAGTAGCACCATATTGGTGTAATCTTGGAAGGAGGGTGTGGGGGATGGTGTGTGTGTGTGGGGGGGGGGGGGTTGTGAATCAGACATTCATGACATAACACAGAGCTGTTACCGTCTGGAGTCTCCGCCAGGATCCATTATTGTCACCCCGGCCTGCAAAGGCGGTGTGCGTAGGTGTGTGAAGGGGAGATGGAAGGAGAGAGGGGACGGGGGGGGGCTCTGTATCTTTTTGAAGTTTCAGCGCTTTTTTCTGTGAGAGCTGTCAGTCTTTGATCTCACTTGGGATACACTTTTATTATTTTTACCCAATCTGCACCGGTTTCACCAGCCCCTCATCTCCCATGCTCTATCTCTCTCTCTCTCTCTTTTTGTATGAGATTTATTCTTTCAATCAGCTTTTTAAAAGATTTGTCTTTTTTTGGTTTCTTTGGTTTTTATTTTTTTATGCTGTTTACGTGACGAGCCTATTAAGTTGTGCCTAACTGGAGACATGAGCGAGCGTCTTAGTTATATTCTTGATCTCAAATGAACTTGGGAGGATTTACATTTATTTGGCAGCAATATTATGACATTTTGCATTTGCTGTGAAAAGACAGACCTCTTTTTTTTTGGGGGGGGGGGTGTCAGCCACCAACATGAACTGTTTAATAACTCTCTGGGCATTTGAGTGGCTCAAACCTGATGGTACCCCCCACTCAATGAACAGCAGGCCTGTCAACCTTTGGATTCCTCCACTTGTTGAAGCAGTGTGCATCGGGCTGTAGTGAGGTTTTTTTTGTTTTTTGCCTTTCCAAAACCAAAAACACAAAAAGGTAAAGTTAACGGCTAACTACATTAGTTTGTGCGGTTACAGGTTATGTAGATACAGAAAAAGTTACGCCTTTGCGTGTGTTTGTGTGTGAGTCGCGGGCCAACAGGGTAGGCTCCCCCCCCCCGTCTTAGAGAGTCATATCGCAGTAATTCCCCCTTAACAAGACGTAGCTGCTTACTTTGTGAAAAAAGATGGTTTAATAAACAAGCACACATTCACACAATCTCAAATTAGCTGGCCCTTAACCCACTGTCTCCTCACACACACACACACACATCTCCATGGTGATGAAGGCCTAGGTGGTATCTGGCTGGAGCCCATTTTTCTGTTGGCCCACACACACACACAGGCATGCTTCAAACATTATTTGGAGCATCTTCAGGAGGGTATCATGAAGCAACATTTTCAGCTGCTTTCATTTCTTCAGTTTTTTATTTTTAATGTTTTTTCTCTTCTCGCTCTTCTTCTCCAGACATGAGAAATGTGTTTATGAAAACCAAACTGAAAAAGAAAAGTCCTCCCTCCATGTCTCTTGCCTCTTGAGTACTCGGAAAACAAAATCTAATAATACGGGAGCGCGTGGGCGACCGGAGTCGTGGTTCTCGAATTTAAAAATGTGTACAGAGAAGATTTTGAAACAAAAATCTGTAAATAGAAAGTGTAAATAAATCCTATATATGACAAAATTGCTTTGAATAAGGCGTCATGCTGTGTCTACGTGTTTTCTTGGAGTGTGTGTGTGTGTGTGTGTGTGTGTGTGTGTGTGTGTTTGTTTGCATTTCGAGGTGTGATATATGTCAATGCTTCCAGAATGCCATTCTTTAATACACTGAAAATGAAGAAACAATGCAGTCGTGTGTCTGCGCATGCATTAGCCGGGCCGCGGCTAAAAGCTCCGCTCATGTGCCACATGTAGCTAATTGTGTCCGTTGTATTCACACACACACACACACACACACCATTCCCATATACACGGTGTAACAGGTAAACACTTCTGGCCTGAACCCCCTGGAGGAAATGGCAGCACTAGCTTGCTTAATGAGATCCCTCTCTCTCTCCCCCTCTCCCTCAGTGCATGTGTGATTTGGGAGAGAGACAAAAACCAGAGCCAGGCTGCATTCACTTGCAAATGACAGTACATACCTGTGTGTGTGTGTGTGTGTGCACGTGCAGCAACCCACAGGAGAAGCTGCTGCGCTCTCGTTAGGCTGACTGATGTTTACACAGGCAGCCAATTATGGAGTGCCGGTCACTGAGGACTCCAGTCACTTTGTGGGAAATTAAAAATACATTAAATGGTCGCAGGAAGGCTCGTGCATGTGTGTGTATGCACACACACTCACACACTAATGTGTGAAGAAAGATGAAAGAGTTGCCAACAAAAGACCAGCTGGAGCAAAAAAAACATATAGTGCAAATATTAGCAAAATCAACTGTTTTCCTCTCGGCCATTTTCCTCTACATGCTATCGAAGCTGTTTATTTGTACAGTCTGTCTGCTGTTTTACCTCCCAGTGCCCTCCTAACTCCCCCAATGTGCGGGCCTGTAAACCACCAAATGCCAGCGTGAGTCCTTCTTCATCGATGGGCTCACACACTGGCGACATGTTGGATCATTCTGGGATCACTATACGGCACAAATGTCGAGGCAGACGTCGCGGCACTTTTGTGGATTTTCAAGCCCGCAGCCCCGAAATCAATTTCCTGATTCAATTTGTGAAGAGTTGGAGCTGCACGGGCGACGGCGTTATATTGTCACAGTGAAGGATAACACGCAGATTGAGGATGTCTCCGGAGAGGATTTCAGATGCACTGCGGAGGCGCTGGCAACTGTGATGCAAATCAGTTTCAATTTCAAGTTTGTGCCGAGGCAACGGAGGGGAAGCAGGCGCACCAGGGCGGTGAATGGAAAATGACTCCTGGCTGCTTATTTAATGTTTTTACAGTTGGCACAAAATATACACACATCCGCTCCAACGCCGTCTTTATACCGGTTCCATCTCCTTCCAGTCATTCGGCACCTTTTTCTCAAGGCGTAAAAATGTGTTGCGTCTCCATTATATCCACAGAAGTGTGTCCGCCTGTTAGAAAGCTACAGCTCCTCACTGCTTCGCCTGGGTCGGCCCTGAGAGGCGCCAAAGTCCTCGGGTCAATGCACATGTAGGGTCCCTACCAGAAGATGGTATTTAGACAGAGACACATGCTTCCACTCTGTCGGAGGAATGATGGGAATTGAATGGATTCTTTTGGGGGCCAAAATAATTGTTTTATTTGTTACAGGCCTTGTGTGGGATGCAGACGAGAGCACATACTCATTCTGGGTCTGTGACGAGCAACACTTTCGGCAGCAATAAATCAAACTTCTCCTGCTCCTGAGATATCGCATTGCAACGGTGGGATTGGACTGAATCAGATTACCCTACAATACTAAAGTGCAGCTGTGTAGGCCTACACGTGTACAAGCCCTATTACTCACAGCCTGTTGCTGTGAGTAATACAGTGGGTACGGAAAGTATTCAGACCCCTTTAAATTTTTCACTCTTTGTTTCATTGCAGCCATTTGCTAAAATCAAAAAAGTTCATTTTATTTCTCATTAATGTACACTCAGCACCCCATCT